GTTCAGCAGCAACTTCCAAAAAAATCATGGCAGTTAACAGCTGTCTAAAATTGTTTCAACAATAAAACAAAACAATTGCCTTCATGAAGGAGAATTTATTTGCAGGACTGTTGTCTTAGATTAGTTTTAGCTAGGTGTACTTAATAAACTGCTCACTGGGTGTATAAACCTATATGGTAAGGTAGTGGCATTGCACTCCTTCTTGTTTCTACATTCAAATGTACTAATTCAAAGTGATACTAGTAGAGTAAAAGGATTATAGCCCACACACTGATTTGATGCAAAATTATTTTTGTTCAGGCCAAGCTGTCATACCAACGTCATTTTGACATTAGGTCCTTATCATTTATTATCAGCTAATTCCAAAGTGAGTCATGTTTATGAAGAGTTGCTGTTCTCTGTAGGTGCTGTCTGATATGACCATACTCCAGCGGAGGATCCCTCCTAGTTTCAGAGACCCTGCCAGCGCCCCACTGAGGAAACTCTCTGTTGACCTCATCAAAACTTATAAGCACATCAATGAGGTATGACATGTTTGACTCTTAACAAACACATATGGTGTCTTTTGACTTTACTTCTTTTACTTTTCAGATTTTCAATGAAATTTCCTGCTTTCTACATCAGGTGATAGGATAATATCAGGTTATCAGGTTTAGAAGAAAATGATATCTGCAGAATCCTAACAGTGTCTTAATTGTATGAGGAGAGAAAGCAAGTGGTATAGGTTTCTGTGGGATGACTGAGACATTTGTGGATTCTGTACATGAGCAGGCCACTGCTGCGAACATAACGAGACTTGGGAACTTGTCTCAACATCTGTGAATGTATGTAGGCTCAGCTGAGGGAGTTAAAAAAAAAAAGCAGATGTGACATTTTTTAAAAGTAATTTACAATGTGAAGGGAAATTAAAAACCCCAAACTCTATATCATGGTTTTCAACCAGTGGTCTGTGGCCCACTGGTGGTCTGTGAAGGAGGCACTGCAGAGGTGGACCATGACCATGCATTCAATAGTGCAGTTTCACTATAGGAATAATTCTGATTTTATTTTATTTTCTTAAACACATTTTCATGTATTACTCATTGTGAATAATCAAATCCATGCAAATATATAAAATTTAGAAAAGCCCAGGTGACTTTCAGTTTTTACTGATGGAACTGGTATAGGCATCAACAATCTAATATCCTATGAGGAACAAAATAATGAAATAATGACAGTTACTAGTAATCAGCTGATTTGGGGTTTGTTTTTAAGATGTACCATGAAATATAGCTGCCAACCTAAACTGTGTTTTCATTCACAGGTGTACTATACTAAGAAAAAGCGGCGGGCGCAGCAGGTCCCTCCAGAGGACAGCAGCACCAAGAAGGAGAGAAAAGTCTACAATGACGGCTATGATGATGACAACTATGATTATATTGTGAAAAATGGAGAAAAGTGGCTGGACCGCTATGAGATAGATTCGCTGATTGGGAAGGGTTCCTTTGGACAGGTGAGGTTGATATAGGAAATATCAGTATGAAAACTGAGCCCACATTTATTGTTGGTTATGTTCTCTTTGCTATGTGTTTTTCTTTTTCTTATATTTCACCATTTTCTTTGATCTCTGTCTCCTAGATCAGGGGTGGCCAGTGCCGGTCCTCAAGTGCCACTGCCCTGCCTGTTTTCCGACTATCCCTGCCCTATCCACTGCTGATTATAGGAGAGAGATACCAATACCTATAGAGATATACCAACAGAGATAAGATATACCAATAGAGATACCTGGGAGATACACTTTGTCCTTCCGCATTCCACCTTCATCTAAGATGGTATCCTTCAGCTTCTGATTGAGTGAACACACCTGATCCAGGTAATCAGCAGTGGGTAGTGCAGGGATTTCTGGGAAACCAGCAAGGCAGCAACACTTGAGGACCCGGATTGGCCACCCATGTCCTAGATGTTTTGGGCTAGAAACTTCATTCAAATTTAAAACGTAGAGTTATGCTCTTACTTTTTTGTGTAACCTTTGTACTTTTTGTACATTAAACTTTTTGTCAACTTTTATATAATGTTTTTTTTATGGGCAAAACTTTTAACTTCCTCTAAACATTCCTCTTTTTGTCAGCTTCCTTCTTTATCCTACTTTGGGTTAGAGTAATTTTATGAGGCAGTTTGGTTGAGACACGTGAACAGTGCACCTGCCCATTTGTCCTCTCCCTCTGTTTACTAACATGACGCCAGTCAGTATCTGTTAACCGAGTTGTTTCTAGTACATGATGTGTCCTCACCTGTTAATACTACAGTTCCCCTGTCAGTACTAGTCCTTTCATTACCTCTACTCTCACTACTAGTATTTCTGACAGTACTATTACTTTATAATATGCTAATACTTCTAACATTAACAATAGATAGATTGACTTTCTAGGTAGAATATTTTTATTCCTCCTTCCTTTCATCCTTATTTCCTTCTATACTTCCTGTCTCCTTTCTTTCCTCCTTTCCTTCCTTCCCTTCATCCTTATTTCCTTTATTTCTCCCATTCTTCCATCATCTGTTGTTTATTTTATCTCTTTCCTCTGCCCTCTACCATTGGATCAGCCAAGATTGATCGGGCTCCCTCAGAGACATGACCTTATACAGGTCATAAAGATCATTTAAGGATGTGCCAGCAATTTTGCTGCACACCTTCACAGCATCCTGTGATTTTTCAGTTTGACAGAAAGACCTGCAAATAAAGGAAAAGATAAGAACTGATTGAATAAAACAAGAATAAAGCATCTTCATAAAAGTGTTGTTGATGTTAAAGCTGTGAACTTTATCGTAAAGATGCATACACTAATGTGCTTTTGTACACACAGCATCAACCTCAAAGCACATTTTGTTATCGATCACAGTACCAAGATATTTGTACTGCTGCACCAGTTCAGCAGCCTGATTTTCCATAACAGGAGAGATGGCAAAGGGGTTTTTACTAAATCATCTGTCAGTCATCGCTTGTTTTTTCCAGTTAGTTCCTACAGTCTGTAACAAGTTAAAGTCTGTTTAGTGAATTTCCAACATTTTCTGTTCCTGTTAAAGGAATAGTTGAATATTTTGGAAAATACATTTATTTGCTCTGTTTCCATGAGTGAGAAGAGGTCAGGAAAGGGTTAGCCAAACTTGGCATAAAGACCTGAAAAATAAAAAAACACGCCACCAGTAGCTGGAAAGCTCACCAAGTAACATATAGTATTATTGAGTATTTTTCTGAGTTTCAGGATATATTTAGTGAACTTCACTATACTTGTCAGGATCCACATTTCTTTTAATCACAGCAGGAGCTGCTCTTATTTGGACACACTGAGCACATTTTATTATACTGTACACGACAAGACAGTCAAATTCCATTCAGATAGCCTGGCATGTCTACTAAAGAAAATGAAAAACAGAAAAAGTATGTTTCTGTCATGGCATGTGATGGCAAAGTACGTTGAAATCTGTCTACAGGTGGTGAAGGCTTACGACCACCATGAGCAAGAATGGGTGGCCATTAAGATCATTAAGAACAAAAAGGCATTTCTAAACCAGGCACAGATTGAACTACGCCTGCTGGAGCTCATGAACAAGCATGACACCGAGATGAAATATTACATAGGTAAGATGGCCAACATACATACACACACACTACATTGAGAGAAAATGGGAGAAAGTACATGTACTACTGCACAGATGTACCTATGTTTATACTACACTGGTTGTCTGCATACACAGATCTGGTGGAAGTCTAAGCAGACCTTCATGAATATGAGAAGATAATACTCAGAGTAGTCAAATGAAAGCTGCCAGTCACAATGGAATTGTTTAGAATTCTTAAATTTAAAGAAAATCATAGAGGGATCTCAAAAATTCATTATGTCACATCTTCCTTTTTGGTATGGACTCTTTTATGCTACAGCTATGGTTCCCAAACCTTTTCATGTCAAGATCCAAAAGAGAAATTTGGTTTTTCTCTGGGCCCCAAACTTACAAAAATACATTATGAATTGCTAAAACGTCTGCAATTGTAAATGAGTGATAATGAACACACCAAACCCTGAATTTAAAATGTAGACTATAACAAATATATTTACAGTGAGGAACGGAAGTATTTGAACACCCTGCGATTTTGCAAGGTCTCCCACTCAGAAATCATGGAGGGGTCTGAAATTCACATTGTAGGTGCATTCCCACTCTGAGAGACAGAATTTAAAAAAAAATTTCAGGAAATCACATTGTATGATTTTTTTTTAAAGAATTCTGCTGAACATAAGTATTTGAACACCTGAGAAACAGCAAGAATTCTGGCTCTCAAAGACCTGTTACTGTGCCTTGAAAAAGTCCACCTCTACTCCACTCATTAATCTAAATTAGTAGCACCTGTCTGAGCTCTTTAAAGACACCTGTCCACCCCACAGTCAGTCAGACGCCAACTACTACCATGGGCAAGACCAAAGAGCTGTCAAAAGACACCAGAGACAAAATTGTGGACCTCCACAAGGCTGGAAAGGGCTACAGGGCAATTGCCAAGCAGCTTGGTGAAAATAGATCAACTGTTGGAGCAATTGTTAGAAAATGGAAGAGGCTAAAGACGACTGTCAGTCTCCCTCGGACTGGGGCGCCATGCAAGATCTCACCTCGTGGGGTATCACGGATGATGAGAAAGGTGAGGAATCAGCCCAGAACGATAGGGAGGAGCTGGTCAATGACATGAAGAGAGCTGGGACCACAGTTTCAAAGGTCACTGTCGGTAGAACACTACGCCGTCATGGTTTCAAATCATGCATTGCACGGAAGGTTCCCCTGCTCAAGTCATCACATGTCCAGGCCCATCTGAAGTTGGCCAAAGACCATCTGGATGATCCAGAGGAGGCATGGGAGAAAGTCATGTGCTCAGATGAGACCAAAGCAGAACTTTTTGGTCTAAACTTCACTCGTCGTGTTTGGAGGAAAAAGAAGGATGAGTTGCATCCCAAGAACACCATCCCTACTGTGAAGCATGGGGGTGGTAACATCATGCTTTGGGGGTGCTTTTCTGCGAAGGGGACAGGACGTCTGCACTGTATTAAGGAGAGGATGAATGGGGCCATTTATTGTGAGATTTTGAGCAACAACCTCCTTCCCTCAGCCAGAGCATTGAAGATGGGTCGTGGCGGGGTCTTCCAACATGACAACGACCAAAAGCACACAGCCAGGATAACCAAGGAGTGGCTCTTGGCTTCCAGTGTCTTTCAGGATTCATTTTAAGATTCTTTTATTTGTTTTTAAGTCTTTGAATGGTCTTGCTCCATTGTATCTTGCTGAGCTTTTATTTCCTTATAGTCCCTCTCGGTGCCTCAGATCAGCTGACCAGCTCTTGCTTGAGGTACCGTGGGCCAGGCGTAAACTCAGAGGGGACAGAGCGTTTTCCATTGTGGCTCCTAAGCTATGGAATGCGCTGCCCCTTTACATCAGGCAGGCCGCCTCGTTGGCTATTTTTAAAACTTACTTGAAGACTCACTTGTATGCTTTGGCGTTTGATATGCTATGAGACTCTGTTTGGGCTGAGTTTTGGTTGATAGTATTTTGTTATTTTGCTATGTTGGTTCTTTTATGTTATTTTATTGGTATTTTAATATTGTAGTTGTCACGTTTTTAGATGTTTTGAATTGTATCTTATGTTAAGCACTTTGTTGGCCTCGGCTGTGTTCAAGTGCTTTATACAGTGCCTTGCGAAAGTATTCGGCCCCCTTGAACTTTGCGACCTTTTGCCACATTTCAGGCTTCAAACATAAAGATATAAAACTGTAATTTTTTGTGAAGAATCAACAACAAGTGGGACACAATCATGAAGTGGAATGAAATTTATTGGATATTTCAAACTTTTTTAACAAATAAAAAACTGAATAATTGGGCGTGCAAAATTATTCAGCCCCTTTACTTTCAGTGCAGCAAACTCTCTCCAGAAGTTCAGTGAGGATCTCTGAATGATCCAATGTTGACCTAAATGACTAATGATGATAAATAGAATCCACCTGTGTGTAATCAAGTCTCCGTATAAATGCACCTGCACTGTGATAGTCTCAGAGGTCCGTTTAAAGCGCAGAGAGCATCATGAAGAACAAGGAACACACCAGGCAGGTCCGAGATACTGTTGTGGAGAAGTTTAAAGCCGGATTTGGATACAAAAAGATTTCCCAAGCTTTAAACATCCCAAGGAGCACTGTGCAAGCGATAATATTGAAATGGAAGGAGTATCAGACCACTGCAAATCTACCAAGACCTGGCCGTCCCTCTAAACTTTCAGCTCATACAAGGAGAAGACTGATCAGAGATGCAGCCAAGAGGCCCATGATCACTCTGGATGAACTGCAGAGATCTACAGCTGAGGTGGGAGACTCTGTCCATAGGACAACAATCAGTCGTATACTGCACAAATCTGGCCTTTATGGAAGAGTGGCAAGAAGAAAGCCATTTCTTAAAGATATCCATAAAAAGTGTCGTTTAAAGTTTGCCACAAGCCACCTGGGAGACGCACCAAACATGTGGAAGAAGGTGCTCTGGTCAGATGAAACCAAAATCGAACTTTTTGGCAACAATGCAAAACGTTATGTTTGGCGTAAAAGCAACACAGCTCATCACCTTGAACACACCATCCCCACTGTCAAACATGGTGGTGGCAGCATCATGGTTTGGGGCTGCTTTTCTTCAGCAGGGGCAGGGAAGATGGTTAAAATTGATGGGAAGATGGATGGAGCCAAATACAGGACTATTCTGGAAGGAAACCTGATGGAGTCTGCAACAGACCTGAGACTGGGACGGAGATTTGTCTTCCAACAAGACAATGATCCAAGACATAAAGCAAAATCTACAATGGAATGGTTCACAAATAAACATATCCAGGTGTTAGAATGGCCAAGTCAAAGTCCAGACCTGAATCCAATCGAGAATCTGTGGGAAGAACTGAAAACTGCTGTTCACAAACGCTCTCTATCCAACCTCACTGAGCTCGAGCTGTTTTGCAAGGCGGAATGGGCAAAAATTTCAGTCTCTTGATGTGCAAAACTGATAGAGACATACCCCAAGTGACTTACAGCTGTAATCGCAGCAAAAGGTGGCGCTACAAAGTATTAACTTAAGGGGGCTGAATAATTTTGCACGCCCAATTTTTCAGTTTTTTATTTGTTAAAAACGTTTGAAATATCCAATAAATTTCGTTCCACTTCATGATTGTGTCCCACTTGTTGTTGATTCTTCACAAAAAATTACAGTTTTATATCTTTATGTTTGAAGCCTGAAATGTGGCAAAAGGTTGCAAAGTTCAAGGGGGCCGAATACTTTCGCAAGGCACTGTACTTATGTTCAGCAGTGCTAGACAAATAAATTCTTTAAAAATCATACAATGAGATTTCCTGAAATTTCTTTTTTAAATTTTGTCTCTCAGAGTGGGAATGCACCTACAGTGTGAATTTCAGACCCCTCCATGATTTCTAAGTGGGAGAACTTGCAAAATCGCAGGGTGTTCAAATACTTCTGTTCCTCACTGTATATTTTCATTATAAAAGTGCATCACAGCTAAAATGCAATTGCTGAGAGTAATTTTAAATTTCTCACCACCTTAAAATGAACTTGTATGAAACAAACATAATTTGGACTGCCGTCAAATTATATTAATTTCACAATGAATAGTCCAACCTTAAAATATGCAAATACTACATGTGTAGTGTATTATGCAACCTACTTGCCATACATTTTATTTCATGTCATGCAATAATAAATGACTTTTGAAGAGAAGTTTTACCCGATCATATGCATTGATTCACAGAGCACTAATTTACTTCAGTCACACAGTGAGATTCAGTTGTGCACCTGTGATAGAATTTGTGCTGGTTCCTAGTCCCTCCTCCTCCATCATCTCGCTGTCTTTTTCAGTATGTTTACATGGTACAGTCGCTATTGAACAGACATCATTTTCACTGCTGGGCTGTTGCTCAAGAGCAAAAATAATTGATGAGTATTGTATGACATGCTGAGCAGCCTATTTTCATGATACTGTATTTATGAAAGGGACAGGGCAATTCTCAGTTTATTTGACCCATTTGCAGTCAAACAGTGTCAGTTTCTTTACAGACATTTAGATTTAAATTGAATGTTTTCAGTTTTTAATTGTTATTGCACTGACTGCACTCAGTAGTCACATAGCTAGGAGAGATTAGACAACGATGGGTTGAGCAGCTCTACAATAATCAAACTTAGAACAAACTGTCAGGCACATGATGCTCACTCCTCTTTGCTTCTTTGCTCGTTGTCACACAGTCCGTTAGCAACTTTTGCATACTAAGCATCAGCCAACGGGTCAGCTTTCTTTCTCTGTTGTTCCTTTTCTGCACTGTGGGTTTTCCATCTCTCCAAGTTTTATTTACTACCACATCTATTTTAGAGGTGTGAAATCAACAGCCCTCTGTTAAGGCTTGCACCAGCAGTGTCGCTGCAGCTGGCCTGTTGAATATCTATAGGCATTTAGGGTGGATAATGTCTAAGTGGTTTGGGAGAAAAATGTATTGGCCTACCAGTAAAAATCAAGAACTTCATTGCCTGCCGAGAAAAGGTTTATAAGAGACGGAGAGAGGCAGAGAGCCT